GCCCGAGGGCCATGAGAAGAAAACCATGTCCGACTAAGCTGTTAGACCAGTTTGTGCGATCGACTGGTATGGGGCACACGGCCGGGGCATCCCTGTTGGATTATTCTTAAAATTTAAGGGGTCAAAATCGAAAATGCTCCACTTACCGACTCTATCTACGCTAAGAGTCCTACGTATGGACAGACGTGTTGCCTCCTAATTCATCCCTCCCTCCCTGATTTGCAGGTAGTCCTGGCCATCTCAGGCCCGGCCCTAAAATCCAGGGCCTAGGCCCGATGGGCTTGCCCATGGGCCGGGCTTGGGCTTGAGTTTTGAGCCCACCAGTTGGGCCTGGACGGGCTTGGGTTTGGCATATTGGCATTTTAAGGAAGAGGCCCGGTCCATGCCCCTAAGCCCTAAGGGCTTTTTACCGGATGTCGTGGTTCTAAGTCTGACAGTAGAATGGGGGGTAGGTATGGAGAGGCAAGATCCTAGCTATGGAGCAGTTGTGAACATAAGGATGTACGAGTTCAGGCCCTTCTCGAAGGAAGTAACAGCCCTACGTCTCGGAGCCCGGAGGCGGTCGACTGGATTATGCGTGTATGGATTACAGGGGTGCGAACCCCTTACACTGAGGAGGGAGGTGGCTTATATAGTGTCCGCCAGACCCCTCCGGCCCTCAGTAATGCAGGGTTTAAAGTACATTAAGTCTAGGCGTTACTGCTAACGCCTTACATAAAGTATCCTAAATGCCATAAAGACTACTTAATTACAGACCGTTTGGATGCAGAGTGGCTCTTGATCTCCTGGTGGTCGAGTGAGTCTTCATGGTCGAGTCCTTCGAGTTCATCGAGTGAAGTCTCTCTTGGTCGACTGGAAGGTAGTTTCTTCTGAGGGTGTCCTTGGGTAGGGTACTTAGATCAGGTCTATGCCCCTACCCTAGGTACATGACTTCATCATTAGCCCCCGAATGGATCGAGGTTTGAGTGAGGAAGGAGTTGATATTATTTCCGACCTGCTTTTGTGTTCTGGATATGTATCGTCTTGGACCAATAATCTCTTCGTTGATAACAGCAACTTTTCTTTCAGTCGCCTTGATCCATTCTTTTCTCTCGTCGAGTGAACTTTTGAACTTAGTTATTTCCGAGCGACGGATCACGGGAAATCTCTCGTCTGACAGATCGATCTGCTGTTAGCGGATTTTGCGGGATCCAAATTTTGGGAAGCGCGCGAAGCGGGGTGGACCGCGGCGCTCGGATGGGATAGGGCATAGACGCCTCGATTCCCGCGCCGTCTTTTTCGCCACGTATCGCGTACGCGCGACTGTTTCGGGATGTGATTGGATTGCCTGGGCCCACTTGTCATCCACTCGGAAGCGGCTTTATAAAATGCGCCCGGTGAGGGTTTTTGAACAGTACTTCTCTAATCCCCCTTCTGTCCTCTCCACCTCCGCCCGCATCGCCTGCTCTCGCTTCTGCCCAACCACTCCCCGTGCGCTTCGACGGCAACAATGGTGAAGGAGAAGACGGCGGCTCTGGAGAGCGCAAAGAAGGCGACGGTGACGGGGAAGGCGAAAGGGAGAGCGACTAGTCGGGGTGGATCCTCGTCAAGGTCCCGCCTGCCACAAGGCTGGGTCCAAGGGGATTGGATTCGGTCGACCATCACCGAGAAGGATCTCACTGAGATGGCCAACGAGGGTTTGATCCCCCACGGAGCAGCGAGGCTCCCAGGGAACGAGTGGCAACCACAGCCGGAAGAGGGTGAGTGCGTTCTTCTGGCTACCCACGTCGACCGTGGGTTCTCTTTGCCTCCGAGTGTTTTCTTCCGTGGTTTCTTGAATTTCTTTGGGGCGCAACTCCACCACTTCAATCCAAATTCCATCGCCTACCTTGCTGCCTTCGTGTCCATGTGCGAGAACTTTCTGGGTTGCCGACCGCACTGGGGTCTTTTCAAGCACATATTCACTTGTCGTTCTCAGACAGTGAAAAAGGCGAGTCCAGATGATGATAAGACCAAGGTTATTCAGATGTGTGGAGGTCTGGGGACTCAGATGAGAAACAAGAGCACCTTTCCGTCCATGACTCTCCCTGAGTCGGTCAAAGGATGGCAGTCGACTTGGTTTTACTGCCAAAACGAGCGATACGCCAAGCGGGAGTCATGATGGAGCAAGTGAAGGCCATCCAAGAAGCCAGCCAGGCAGCCTATGACGCCAGTTCCGCTCTTCAAAGCAACTTTCAGGTCAGTCGGTCATCGCCTGTTCTGTTAGGATATGATATCTGAAAATTCTTCATTCTGAAATCCATAGTGATTGTCGTCCTACACCCACTGGGTGTGTTGATTGGAATTCCGGATTAGTGGGGGCACGCTGAGTGCACCCACTGGGTGTAGTCCCCGAGGCTATGGTGGACTGCTGGCAGTCGACCATAGGCTTTATAAGTTTTTCCTTCATTTAACTAGGTCGAATGGATTTCTCAAACCGGTGGGGGCACGCTGAGTGCACCCACTGGGTGTAGTCTCCGAGACTGTGGTCGACTGCTGGCAGTTGACTACAGTCTGAAGAATATGTCCTGTTTTGTTTTTTTTTGTTGGTCGACTGGTCGACTCTTGACTTGATAGAACTAGTGGGGGCACGCTGAGTGCACCCACTGGGTGTAGTCCCCGAGACTACGGTCGAATGTTTGTATTCGGCTGTAGTCTTAGAAACGTATGATTTTTCCTTAGAGACTCGGAAGTGAACTACTTTGACATTTTGTCGATTGGTTCTTCGTAGAAATCCTGCGACCTTGCGGCTCGTTACACCGAGTTGGAGAACAAACATATCCAACTCGAGCTTGATCTGAAGCTGGTCCAGGAGAATTTGGCGAAGGCAAAGGAGGAGACCAAAGGTATGTTTGGTGAGGCCTCGACGACTGCTTTTACCCCTCATTTGTTTCAAAGTCTGATCTTGCTGTAACTTTGCAGGCAAAGTGAAGGAGGCCCAGAAGAAGAAAGACCTTGAGCTAGCTGAGATGCAGAAGACAGCTTTAGAGAAGACCAAGCTCGCAGACGAGAAGCTGGCTTCGGTCACCAGGCTTGAAGAAGAAAACACCAATCTGAAAGCTGCTCTTGATATTGCCAATAAAGAAGTGAGTCGACTGAAGAGTGACAAGATTGCCCTGAACGACAAAGCCAGTGAGTTGGTGGGGAAGAAGAAAGATCTAGAGGCTTATCTGGGCGGACTCGCCAAGAAGCTGTTCCTCATGCTCGAAGGTAATCCTTTGCACCAAACAATTGTTTTTACAGTGATCTTTCCATTCGACCGTTGCCTTGACTCGGCGATTGTACTTGCAGAATTTTGCCAAAACTTTGAAGAGGAGACTGGTCGACTGGAACCAAACCTGGACCCCATCAACTCTCCGGTGAATGATGAAGTCGCCATGAACGTGTTCCGGCTCGAGTCTCGTGTTGCTGCTGTCATTGACTATCTTGCAAGGCTGAAGGTCGCCACTTCCCGCATTGACACTACGCTCTAGCCCAAGGAGACGCTCCAAAATGACCTCGAGTCTCTGATGACTCGACTAAACACAGTCCCTGGTCGAGTGCAGGAGTGGAAGAAGTCTTCTGCCAGGTGCGGTGCAGATGTCACTCTGTGTCTGGCCCGAGTCCATTGCAAGGATGCACGAGAGGACAAGCTGGCGGCTCTTTGGGTGGCTAACACCAAGAAGCATGATTTCCGGTCTTTCATGGAGACTTTCATTGCCGCTGCCACTCGGATCGCGGATGGAATCGACATTGATGAGTTTGTTGCACCTTCCAGCCCTCCACAGGAAGGGTAAAAAACTTCTTGAGCTCGACACTTTAAATTTGCCTCGGTATGCCGAGTGATTTTGTAACCGATAAACCTTAACAGGCCTAGCGCCTGAGCACCTTCGGTTCCATTAGGTATTTATCCGAACTTGGATTCGACGTTTGAATATGCTTGCATTTGGTTTGAAATGTCTTTGCAGGTTAAAGCGAGATGCTTACTGCAATCGACTTATTCCCCAATTCATTTAGGCAGGCACTGGGCTGCGGCTAAGCCCCCGAGTGGGAGGCATGCTCTCCACTCGGTAGGATTTTTCAAAACTTAGGCGAGCACTGGGCTGCAGCTAAGCTGTTGGGTAACGTAGTAATTTCAAAAAATTTCCTACGCACACGCAAGATCA